AAATCCAGAGACTCCAGTGTGTCTGCTCGCCTGTCACCTCCCACAGCCCCTTCACACGCAGGCAGGTGGCTCTTCCCCAAACCAGGGCATGTACTCCTCACTGACTCAGCCAGACAGACAAATTGTCTGCTTCACACACTTAACCCATGAGACGCCAAATACAGTTGGTCCTTCCTTAAGAACTTTTCAAATGGATCCTTTGTATGAAAAATAACATGATATATCTAACTTGTTTAACTACAGATTTTATTTTATCGCTTTGGTGCAATATTCACAATATGTGGTACATTTTCTCAACTGTTATTCTCCTCACATGTGAAAAGGTGGCGTTAACATGTGCAGTCTAAATATAATACATGTGAACATATGGTTTCACGTGTGAAGAACTGACCTCACATGTCTCTTTTTGTTTTCACTTGAAAATTTCAGCTCAATGTGAAAACAGCTACAGTGCCTTGCAAGATTATTCAACCCCCTTGGCGTTTTTCCCATTTGTTACATTACAACCTGTAATTTAAATTGATATTTATTTGGATTGCATGTAATGGACATACACCAAATAGTCCAAATTGGTGAAGTGAAATAAAAAAAATGACTTGTAATTTTTTTTTTTGAATAAATAAATAACGGAAAAGTGGTGCGTGCATACAGTTGAAGTCGGAGGTTTACATCTTAGCCAAATACATTTAAACTCAGTTTTTCACAATTCCTGACATTTAATCCTAGTAAAAATTCCCTGTTTTAGGTCAGTTAGGATCACCACTTTAAATTTAAGAATGTGAAATGTCAGAATAATAGTAGAGAGAATAATTTATTTCAGCATTTATTTATTTCATCACATTCCCAGGGGGTCAGAAGTTTACATACACTCAATTGGTATTTGGTAGCATTGCCTTTAAATTGTTTAACTTGGGTCAAACGTTTTGGGTAGCCTTCCACAAGCTTCCCACAATAAGTTGGGTGAATTTTGGCCCATTCCTCCTGACATAGCTGGTGTAACTGAGTCAGGTTTGTAGGCCTCCTTGCTCGCACACGCTTTTTCAGTTCTGCCCACACATTTTCTATAGGATTGAGGTCAGGGCTTTGAGATGGCCACTCCAATACATTGACTTTGTTGTCCTTAAGCCATTTTGCCACAACTTTGGAAGTATGCTTGGGGTCATTGTCCATTTGGAAGACCCATTTGTGACCAAACTGATGTCTTTAGATGTTGCTTCAATATATCCACATAATTTTCCTTCCTTATGATGCCATCTATTTTGTGAAGTGCACCAGTCCTTCCTACAGCAAAGCACCCCCACAGCATGATGCTGCCACCCCCGTGCTTCACGGTTGGGATGGTGTTCTTCGGCTTGCAAGTCCCCCCTTTTTCCTCCAAACATAACGATGGTCATTATGGCCAAACAGTTCTATTTTTGTTTCATCAGACCAGAGGACATTTCTCCAAAAAGTACGATCTTTGTCCCCATGTGCAGTTGCAAACCGTAGTCTGGCTTTTTTATGGCAGTTTTGGAGTAGTGCCTTCTTCCTTGCTGAGCGGCCTTTCAGGTTATGTCGATATAGGACTTGTTTTACTGTGGATATAGATACTTTTGTACCCGTTTCCTCCAGCATCTTCACAAGGTCCTTTGCTGTTGTTCTGGGATTGATTTGCACTTTTCGCACCAAAGTATGTTCATCTCTAGGAGACAGAACGCGTCTCCTTCCTGAACGGTATGACGGCCTCATGGTCCCATGGTGTTTATACTTGCGTACTATTGTTTGTACAGATGAACATTCAGGCATTTGGAATTTGCTCCCAAGGATGAACCAGACTTGTGGAGGTCTACCATTTTTTTCTGAGGTCTTGGCTGATTTCTTTTGATTTTCCCATGATGTCAAGTAAAGAGGCACTGAGTTTCAAGGTAGGCCTTGAAATACATCCACAGGTACACCTCCAATTGACTCAAATGATGTCAATTAGCCTATCAGAAGCTTCAAAGCCATAACATCATTTTCTGGAATTTTCCAAGCTGTTTAAAGGCACAGTCAACTTAGTGTATGTAAACTTCTGACCCACTGGAATTGTGATACAGTGAATTATAAGTGAAATAATCTGTCTGTAAACAATTGTTGGAAAAATTACTTGTGTCATGCACAAAGTAGATGTCCTAACCGACTTGTCTAAACAGTAGTTTGTTAACAAGAAATGTCTGGAGTGGTTAATGACTCCAACCTAAGTGTATGTAAACTTCCGACTTCAACTGTATGTATTCACGCCCTTTGCTATGAAGCCCCTAAATAAGATCTCGTGCAACCAATTACCTTCAGAAGTCACATAATTAGTTAAATAAAGTCCACCTGTGTGCAATCTAAGTGTCACATAATCTGTCACATGATCTCAGTATATATACACCTGTTCTGAAAGGCCCCAGAATCTGCAACACCACTAAGCAAGGGGCACCACCAAGCAAGCTGCACCATGAAGACCAAGGAGCTCTCCAAACAGTTCAGGGACAAATTTGTGGAGAAGTACAGATCAGGGTTGGGTAATAAAAAATATCAGAAACTTTGAACATCCCACGGAGCACCATTAAATAGATTATTAAAAAATGGAAAGAATATGGAACCACAACAAACCTGCCAAGAGAGGGCCGCCCACCAAAACTCACGGACCAGGCAAGGAGGGCATTAATCAGAGAGGCAACAAAGAGACCAAAGATAACCCTGAAGGAGCTGCAAAGCTCCACAGCGGAGATTGGAGTATCTGTCCATAGGACCACTTTAAGCCGTACACTCCACAGAGCTGGGCTTTACGGAAGAGTAGCCAGAAAAAAAGCCATTGCTTAAAGAAAGAAATAAGCAAACACGTTTGGTGTTCACCAAAAGTCATGTGGGAGACTCCCCAAACATATGGAAGAAGGTACTCTGGTCAGATTAGACTAAAATTGAGCTTTTTGGCCATCAAGGAAAATGTCTGCCGCAAACCCAACACCTCTCATCACCCCGAGAACACCATCCCCACAGTGAAGCATTGTGGTGGCAGCATCGGCAGGGACTGGGAAACTGGTCAGAATTGAAGGAATGATGGATGGCACTAAATACAGGAAAATTCTTGAGGGAAACCTGTTTCAGTCTTCCAGATATTTGAGACTGGGACGGAGGTTCACCTTCCAGCAGGACAATGACCCTAAGCATACTGCTAAAGCAACACTTGAGTGGTTTAAGGGGAAACATTTAAATGTCTTGGAATGGCCTAGTCAAAGCCCAGACCTCAATCCAATTGAGAATCTGTGGTATGACTTAAAGATTGCTGTACACCAGTGGAACCCATCCAACTTGAAGGAGCTGGAGCAGTTTTGCCTTGAAGAATGGGCAAGAATCCCAGTGGCTAGATGTGCCACGTTTATAGAGACAAACCCCAAGAGACTTGCAGCTGTAATTGCTGCAAAAGGTGGCTCTACAAAGTATTGACTTTGGGGGGGTGAATAGTTATGCACGCTCAAGTTCAGTTTTTTTGTCTTATTTCTTGTTTGTTTCACAGGAAAAAATATTTTGCATCTTCAAAGTGGTAGGCATGTTGTGTAAATCAAATGATACAAACCCCCCAAAATCAATTTTAATTAATAATAATAATAATATGCCATTTAGCAGACGCTTTTATCCAAAGCGACTTACAGTCATGCGTGCATACATTTTTGTGTATGGGTGGTCCCGGGGATCGAACCCACTACCTTGGCGTTACAAGCGCCGTGCTCTACCAGCTGAGCTACAGAGGACCACTAATTCAAGGTTGTAAGGCAACAAAATAGGAAAAATGCCAAGGGGGGTGAAAACAAGATTTGAACGTTATCTCAAGGGGTCATTTACATCTGTGTGTGTGTGTGTGTGTGTGTCTGTGTGTGTGTGTGGTGTAAATATTACATCATTTCAATTGGTGCAAATATAATTAATAAAAACAAAAACTTTATTATTCACTCAAAAGACTACCTATAAAATGTGTTTCTCAAGCACCAAAGTGCCACAATCAGATGTTTTAAGTTCTCACATTTAATTTCTACTAACAGATCAATAGAGTATAAAATAGGCTACATTATAAATAACAACCTGAGGTTATGGCTTTTTTTTAACCAAAAATCTATTGCAAACGCAAAGTACCAAATACAGATATTTATTTCCAATACAGTGCCTTGCAAAAGTATTCATCCCCCTTAGCATTTTTCCTATTCTGTTGCATTACAACCTGTAATTTAAAATGATTTTTATTTGGATTTCATGTAATGGACATACACAAAATAGTTCAAATTGGTGAAGTGAAATGAAAAAAAGAAAAGTGGTGCGTGCATATGTATTCACCCCCTTTGCTATGAATACTTTTGCAAGCCACTGTAGTTCTCTACAACTTCCAAGAGATGTTTTGTTTTGATGCATTGTGAAATAAAAATGTGTATGGCTCAATATGTGAATTGAGCCTTAATTACATCTATATAAATGCAACATATGGCAAGTATAATGTATATAAATGTATGAAAATGGTACACAGTGCTTCCATGTATCTGTGTGTGTTTCATATTGTGAAGAAACAAAGGGTGTTGAATGCACTGACAGTATATATTTATAGCTATAGATCAAAGAATCTGAAAGGACCTTTTTCATTGTTCAGTTAAAGGTCCCACAGTGGACCACTGTAAAGGAAAGTGCCACCAAATAGGTTGCTATTCCATCCATTCTCATATCAAATCTCTCCAACAGAGTGAAATGAGCCACTGCTAACATTAGCAACTCATCACTCTATCTAAACAGAACATGGATTTGGATTTGTCCATTCTTTTTGTATACAGTTCCTCTGTTTTGAATCCAAAAGGAACAACTGAGACAACAAGTCCTTGTGCATGTTTCCCAACTTGTCCGTGAACTTCAGCCCTCTGTATTGGCACACAAATCCCAACATAGCCCTCTAGGCTTTTTTTCCAATGAGCGGCCATGTTGCTGGACCACAGTTTGTACCGATACATTTTGTGTTAGTACACCGCCCCCATATTCTTTGGTGGTGTTGTGTGCTGAAGAACCAGTCCTGAGTGCTGTGAGCGTGTCTGTGAGGTCTGTTGATACCAGTGTTGAGTGTAGTCCTCCACATAACATAGAGAGGAGCTGAGGGAGGGCTGGAGAGCCTGCTCTCTAGTGGTGGGGTCTGTGGGTACACTACTGTCCCAAATATCAGGGGATGGGGGTGAATTGCAGGACATGGAGTCACTGGCTCCAGGGCTGTGGTCCAGTGGAACTTCCCCGTTCGTGTACAACTTCTTGAATTTGGAACGCCGATTCTGGAACCAGATCTTGACCTGGAAGAAAAAACATTTGAGCTACAGGTTTAAATAGAAGGTCGGGATGTTTGTACCAGAACATGCGAATGCATGGGTTAAAAGTGTATTATCTAGTGTTGTAATCTCATATTGACACCCTAGGCCTTATTAGAATAGAATATACCGCATTATGTTGCATTGAAATTTGTAATCCAGATGCAAACTTAGATCCATTAATGAAGCTATCAATTCTCAGATATGAAAACGACTGGGAAGAGGTTAATAACACCAGCGGTTTGAAATATAATATAAACAATACCGTTTTTTTTTTATCGCTTTGGTACTATTTTGGTACTATATTATGTGGTGAATTGTAAGATACATGTTTTAAAATTGTCCTTTGAATGTAGTATGCTACAGTACTGTAAATTACAGTACCTTACACTGTTTTCACATTAGGCTATACACTTGCACTACTCATTATAATTGACTGAACATCAAATGTCCATAATTTCTATCCCATGTGTGATCAAAGGTGTGATCATTGAAGACATCTTTCACAATATAATCAAATAAAATAAATGAAAGAAAGAAAGAAACATAAGTTTTAGCAGGCACTAGTTTGCATTAAGCCTGTCTTGAGCATTTGGCCATAGGTTCTCATCGAATTCGCAGTAAATATCCTCATTGTTCATGCACCTGGGGAAAAACCTTTTGTCATGGCACACTTCATTTTGGATACATGTTTATTGTATAGGGGATGCATTTCTTCCTTGTTTTGGACTTTCTGGATTATGTATGTATTGGTATTGTATTGATATTGTATTACTGCACTGTAGGAGCTAGAAACACAAGCATTTCACTGCACCTGCTGTAACATTTGCTAATCTGTGTACGCGACCAATAAACTTTGATTTGTTACACACAGTACATCTCTGATCTTGTCTATCAGATTTTTAAAAAACTTACTGTGAAGTAAAATCATAATAGTCATCATCATAGTAGTACATTCGAGTATATATCATATTATTTTATGTTTCTACTTTACAGACATACTTTTTCCTTGGTTTGTGCTGTGGTGGAGACCTCTGTGGGCTATACTCGGCCTTGTCTCAGGATTGTAAGTTGGTGGTTGAGGATATCCCTCTAGTGGTGCGGGGGCTGTGCTTTGGCAGAGTGGGTGGGGTTATATCCTTCCTGTTTGGCCCTGTCCGGGGGTTTCTTCGGATGGGGCCACAGTGTCTCCGGACCGCTCCTGTCTCAGCTTCCAGTATTTATGCTGCAGTAGTTTATGTGTCGGGGGGCTGGGGTTAGTTGGTTATACCTGGAGTACTTCTCCTGTCTTATCCAGTGTCCTGTGTGAATTTAAGTATGCTCTCTCTAATTCTCTCGTTCTCTCTTTCTCTCTGAGAACCTGAGCCCTAGGACCATACGTCAGGACTACCGGACATGCTGACACCTTGCTGTCCCCAGTCCGCCTGGCCTTGCTGCTATTCCAGTTTCAACTGTTCTGCCTGCGGTTACGAAACCCCTACCTGTCCCAGACCTGCTGTTTTCAACTCTTAATGATCGGCTATGAAAAGCCAACTGAGAGACCTGAGCCCTAGGACCATACGTCGGGACTACCGGCCGTGGTGACTCCTTGCTGTCCCCAGTCCGCCTGGCCTTGCTGCTATTCCAGTTTCAACTGTTCTGCCTGCGGTTATGGAACCCCTTCCTGTCCCAGACCTGCTGTTTTCAACTCTTAATGATCGGCTATGAAAAGCCAACTGAGATTTATTCCTGATTATTATTTGACCATGCTTGTCACTTATGAACATTTTTGAACATCTTGGCATGGTTCTGTTATAATCTCCACCCGGCACAGCCAGAAGAGGACTGGCCACCCCTCATAGCCTGGTTCCTCTCTAGGTTTCTTCCTAGGTTTTGGCCTTTCTAGGGAGTTTTTCCTAGCCACCGTGCTTCTACACCTGCATTACTAGCTGTTTGGGGTTTTAGGCTGGGTTTCTGTACAGCACTTCGAGATATTAGCTGATGTACGAAGGGCTATATAAAATAAAATTGATTGATTGATTGATTATGTAATTATCAAAATCTGTAGCAGACAAACTAGTTTACATGTACAATCTATAGGTTTACCAAATGTTTAAGTGATCATCAATTAAGAACAGTCGGATTAAGTAATAGTAACATGTCTTTTAACAAAAGAAAAGATAATCATGTCAAAAGTAATGTGAGCATTGCATTGTTAAAAGGCAATTACTTTATATGAACATGTATTGCAATGTGAAACATGTACAGTAGTTTGCGAAAGTATTCACCCCCCCCTTGGCATTTTTCCTATTTTGTTGCCTTACAACCTGGAATTAAAATGGATTTTTGGGGGGTTTGTATCATTTGATTTACACAACATGCCTACCACTTTGAAGATGCAAAATAGTTTTTATTGTGAAACAAACAAGAAATAAGACAAAAAAACAGAAAACCTGAGCATGCATAACTATTCACCCCCCCCAAACTATCTTGTGGTATGTCTCTATAAGCTTGGCACATCTAGACACTGGGATTTTTGCCCATTCTTCAAGGCAAAACTGCTCCAACTCCTTCAAGTTGGATGGGTTCCGCTGGTGTACAGCAATCTTTAAGTCATACCACAGATTCTCAATTGGATTGAGGTCTGGGCTTTGACTAGGCCATTCCAAGACATTTAAATGTTTCCCCTTAAACCACTCAAGTGTTGCTTTAGCAGTATGCTTAGGGTCATTGTCCTGCTGGAAGGTGAACCTCCGTCCCAGTCTCAAATATCTGGAAGACTGAAACAGGTTTCCCTCAAGAATTTCCCTGTATTTAGCGGCATCCATCATTCCTTCAATTCTGACCAGTTTCCCAGTCCCTGCCGATGCTGCCACCACAATGCTTCACTGTGGGGATGGTGTTCTCGGGGTGATGAGAGGTGTTGGGTTTGCGCCAGACATTTTCCTTGATGGCCAAAAAGCTCAATTTTAGTCTAATCTGACCAGAGTACCTTCTTCCATATGTTTGGGGAGTCTCCCACATGACTTTTGGCAAACACCAAACATGTTTGCTTATTTCTTTCTTTAAACAATGGCTTTTTTTCTGGCTACTCTTCCGTAAAGCCCAGCTCTGTGGAGTGTACGGCTTAAAGTGGTCCTATGGACAGATACTCCAATCTCCGCTGTGGAGCTTTGCAGCTCCTTCAGGGTTATCTTTGGTTATCATTGTACACTTCAAAGTCTCACAGTCGCAGTAATCTTGTGACATGCAGGAGACATGTTTTGATCCCAGTCAGTCCCAAGAGCAAAATTAAATAGGGAGTGGAAAGGCTATCCTTAGAAGGCCTATGACAGGGCTAATCAACTACAGTATGTTCTTACAGTGGCTTGCGAATGTATTCACCCCCCTTGGCATTTTTCCTATTTTGTTGCTTTACAACCTGGAATTAAAATTGATTTTTGGGGGGTTTGTATCATTTGATTTACACCTCATGCCTACCACTTTGAAGATGCAAAATATATTTTATTGTGAAACAAACAAGAAATAAGACAAAAAAACTGAAAACTTGAGCGTGCATAACTATTCAACCCCCCCCCCCCCCAAACTATCTTGTGGTATGTCTCTATAAGCTTGGCACATCTAGACACTGGGATTTTTGCCCATTCTTCAAGGCAAAACTGCTCCAGCTCCTTCAAGTTGGATGGGTTCCGCTGGTGTACAGCTTAAAGTGGTCCTATGGACAGATACTCCAATCTCCGCTGTGGAGCTTTGCAGCTCCTTCAGGGTTATCTTTGGTCTCTTTGTTGCCTCTCTGATTAATGCCCTCCTTGCCTGATCCGTGAGTTTTGGTGGGCGGCCCTCTCTTGGCAGATTTGTTGTGGTGCCATATTCTTTCCATTTTTTAATAATGGATTTAATGGTGCTCCGTGGGATGTTCAAAGTTTCCTATATTTTTTTATAACCCAACCCTGATCTGTACTTCTCCACAACTTTGTCCCTGACCTGTTTGGAGAGCTCCTTGGTCTTCATGGTGCCGCTTGCTTGGTGGTGCCCCTTGCTTAGTGGTGTTGCAGACTCTGGGGCCATTCAGAACAGGTCCAAGAGATATACTGAGATCATGTGACAGATCATGTGACACTTAGATTGCACACAGGTGGACTTTATTTAACTAATTATGTGACTTCTGAAGTTAATTGGTTGCACCAGATCTTATTTAGGGGCTTCATAGCAAAGGGGGTGAATACATATGCACGCACCACTTTTCCGTTATTAATTTTTTCGAATTTTTTGAAACAAGTAATTTTTTGCATTTCACTTCATCAATTTGGACTATTTCGTGTATGTCCATTACATAAAATCCAAATAAACATCAATTTAAATTACAAGATGTAATGCAACAAAATAGGAAAAACGCCAAGGGGGATGAATACTTTTGCAAGGCACTGTATTTCTAGATGAAACACTGATTACATTTGGTGAAAAAGTGACTGTATCATTTTGTGTTTTGTACTAAGTCAATTTAACATGTGCTTAGAGTTTTAAAACAACTGCCTTTTTGATGATCTGTTTTGAGTTTTGTACTAAGAGTTGTAAAAATGTACCACATACTTGTGAAAATAGAAAGCGATAACAAAACCTGTAACGTCTTAGATGATTCACTAGGTGTAGACCTAACGTATGCAAAATAGATGCCAGTATAGTTCATGGTTTTATTAGATAAATGAACATAGATCATAGAGGTATAAACCTCTCAACAGCGTGTCATAACAGTGGTATGTGTGGCCTATTGGCTTCCTCACCTGTGTTTGTGTCACGCCAAGTTGAGCCGCTAGTTCGGCTCTCTCAGGAAGAGACAAATACTGAGCTCCCTGGAAGCGATGTTGCAACGCAGCGAGCTGGTAACTAGAATATATAGTGCGAGGTTTTCTGATTTTTCTAGGCTTTCCATTGACCATTCTCACCTCAGGCTCTGGTTCCTCTGAAAAATAACAACAGAGCATTAGTTGGCTAAAGGACTTGAGGGGCTCATACATTTACAGTAGGCCTACAGAGGGCTTAAACAGTAGGCCTATGCCTACAGAAAAAAAGTATTATGATAACAGATTAATTAAAAGTATTATGATAACAGATGAATTAATTGATTATATATATTTCATTAGTCAACATCAATTAAAACATTTTTTTTTACCAGTTCTGAAATATGCTTTACTCAATAGCCTAAGCAGGGTTTGGTGCACAAAATGTCTCTGTCCAAGAGATTCCAATGCCCCTCACATTATTATGGGATATGCCACTAATGAGAGAGAATGATTGGTGCATTGAGTATATAGGCTATATAGCCTTCATGTATTGTTTGGGGTGTTTTCACATGCAGTGATCAAGTCAAAACTCTAAGACAGGCTATTGAGCCAAAAAGCAATGCGTGCCAGAATGACATGTCGTGACACCTGATGTGTGTCTCCGGGCCAATTCAAAGAGAAAGATTCTTCCTGGAATGCCAATGCCAGCAGCCAAATGGTATGTTATAGGGCCTAGATACCTAAACATTGTTAACAACACAAAAATTACCAATGACAACACAAACACAATAGCAGTTCTCTCTCAAATGTGAAGGTTTCAGCTGCTTTGCAAAAACCAATTTTGCAAAATATAAAGAAACCTTTTGCATTTATAGAATAGGCTACATTTTAATTTGCATTCTAGGCCATATGAACAATTTATATTATTGAAGAGCTTTATAGCATAGTGTGTTATTGCAAAACGATCGAAGTAGACTAGGCCTAATGGGGCATTTGAATTGTAGGCTAAAACTTATATAATACACTATTCCCTGGGAGCTCATCTTAAACGTCATTAACAGTCAAAATCATGCTTTTCATGAAATGTCATGATATTTGGATGAAACCAGATCAAAGTTTGATGACAAATGTATGAAATGTATGACTGTTGCTTCTACATTGATAAAGTTTGATCATAAAGTTACTGGTCCCCTCCCCCGTGTCAACCACTTGGATTCAGGAGGCAGGATTATTGAGTCGATAGGGTATCATCACCTTAATTTTCTCTTACCTAATTTAAATAAGTACCGCCTTGTAACCAACATCAGAGAAGGCGTGTTTGCAAAGGGGCATGGTTTATATAGATAGATACTGTTGAAGTCGGAAGTTTACATACACCTTAGCCAAATACATTTAAACTCAGATTTTCACAATTCCTGACATTTAATCCTAGTAAAAAATTCCCTGTCTTAGGTCAGTTTGGATCACCATTTTATTTTAAGAGTGTGAAATGTCAGAATAATACTAGAGATAATTATTTCTTTCAGCTTTTATTTATTTCATCACATTCCCAGTGGGTCAGAAGTTTACATACACTTAATTGGTATTTGGTAGCATTGCCTTTAAATTGTTTAACTTGGGTCAAACGTTTTGGGTAGCCTTCCACAAGCTTCCCACAATAAGTTGGGTGAATTTTGGCCCAATCCTCCTGACAGAGCTGGTGTAATTGAGTCAGGTTTGTAGGCCTCCTTGCTCGCACACGCTTTTTCAGTTCTGCCCACAAATGTTCTATAGGATTGAGGTCAGGGCTTTGTGATGGCCACTCCAAATACATTGACTTTGTTGTCCTTAAGCCATTTTACCACAACTTTGGAAGTATGCTTGGGGTCATTGTCCATTTGAAAGACCCATTTGCGATCAAGCTTTAACTTCCTGACTGATGTCTTTAGATGTTGCTTCAATATATCCACATAATTTTCCTTCCTCATGATGCCATCTATTTTGTGAAGTGCACCAGTCCCTCCTGAAGCAAAGAACCCCCACAGCATGATGCTGCCACCCCTGTGCTTCACGGTTGGGATGGTGTTCTTCGGCTTGCAAACAACCCCCTTTTTCCTCCAAACATAACGATGGTCATAATGGCCAAACAGTTCTATTTTTGTTTCATCAGACCAGAGGACATTTCTCCAAAAAGTACGATCTTTGTCCCCATGTGCAGTTGCAAACCGTAGTCTGGCTTTTTTATGGCGGTTTTGGAGCAGTGGCTTCTTCCTTGCTGAGCGGCCTTTCAGGTTATGTCGATATAGGACTTGTTTTACTGTGGATATAGATACTTTTGTACCCGTTTCCTCCAGCATCTTCACAAGGTCCTTTGCTGTTGTTCTGGGATTGATTTGCACTTTTCGCACCAAAGTATGTTCATCTCTAGGAGACAGAACGCGTCTCCTTCCTGAGCGGTATGACGGCTGCATGGTCCCAAGGTGTTTATACTTGCATACTATTGTTTGTACAGATGAACGTGGTACCTTCAGGCACTTGGAAATGTGTTCCCAAGGATGAACCAGACTTGTGGAGGTCTACAATTTTCTTTCTGAGGTTTTGGCTGATTTCTTTTGATTTTCCCATGATGTCAAGGAAAGAGGCACTGAGTTTGAAGGTAGGCCTTGAAATACATCCACAGGTACACCTCCAATTGACTCAAATGATGTCAATTAGCCTATCAGAAGCTTCTAAAGCCATGACATCATTTTCTGGAATTTTCCAAGCTGTTTAAAGGCACAGTCAACTTAGTGTATGTAAACTTCTGACCCACTGGAATTGTGATACAGTGAATTATAAGTGAATTATCTGTCTGTAAACAATTGTTGAAAAAATTACTTGTGTCATGCACAAAGTAGATGTCCTAACCGACTTGCCAAAATTATAGTTTGTTAACAAGAAATGTGTGGAGAGGTTGAAAAACGAGTTTTAATGACTCCAACCTAAGTGTATGTAAACTTCCAACTTTAACTGTAGCTACTCTACTGTGCCAAAATTGGATGGTAGGGTATCAGCAAATGTAATTAAAAGTTTACCATATTAATCTATGGCAAAGATACTTTTATGTTTCCACTTTCATCTGTGTCTAGTGTTAGCTAGTTACTGGTTAGCTAGGTCTTCAGCCAGCATGGAACAAAAGTGGGGGAAGGGTTGTTCAAAACACTGACGCAGTTGTCAAGTCAACACATCCGTCAGTGCTGCTGTGCACCGCATCACAAAGAGACATGCCAAACGGGAGATGTATGAAACATTTTTGACATCATTGATGCAATGTCAATGTTGTTTGAGTTGCTTTGTGTTTCACCAAATTTGCTTGAGATGATTTTACTGCAACACTGCTCACTGCAACCATGTTGCTTGACATAGGCGTTTCAAAGAGCAGTCAGTCAAGGCGAGCTCATGAATATAAGCTCCCCGCCCACTCAGCTTGTCTTTTCAAACTTCCTTGTGGTTAGCCATGAGAGAGAAAAATACTATTCTCAAACGAATAATATGAGTGATATTTTAGTCACTCAAAAGTGTATTTTACATGGGAATCAGAATGACTGTTTGGTACCTTTATTCATTTTTGACAAAAATACAAATGGGGTAGGCTATAGCTGTTTTTATTTTAATGTAAATGTTGACAAATATCACATTGTTAGCTTTGCAGCCAAGAATGCAGAATAGCAAAAAATATATTCTGAATTCTTGACATATTGTCTATAGGCCTAGGCCTACTCAAAAAAAAAATTGTGATCACATGTGATCTAATGTGAAGTTAATGTGATAACATGTGAAACATGTAAAAGCAACACGTGATAAGATGAAACTACACGTGACCACATGTGAACGTTTTTCACATGTGAAACTGCAAATGTCACATGTGAATCTGCAATTCACATGTGAAGTGAAAACATTATTCTCCTCACATGTGAAAAGGTGGTGTTAACATGTGAACTCTATATTGAATACCTGTGAACATATTTCACATTTGAACATCTGACCTCACTTGTCTCTTGTTTTCACATGTGAACATTTCAGATCAACATGTGAAAACAGTTATTTCACATGTGAAACTGCAAATGTCACATGTTTTTTTGTAAGGGAAGTAAATAAATGGTATGGGGATGTTAAATCTGGAATCCATAGTTGCTACATACATTTTGGGACATTAATGATCAATTAATGATCAATTAATGATATATACCCATTGATTCTTGAATAATAGACCTTATAAATGCCTCACGAGCTTAGATCAACTGTTGTACCCCATCAGAACCCAAAATACAATTTTGTTTTACGCCAATGTTTGTAAACAATGTAAAGCCTCAAAACATGGTTAAAACTATAATTGTGATATCATGGATCAATAGCTCCGTCTATGAATTTGAGAGTGGTTACATTTATCCAGGCCCATCTCTCAGCTTTTTACCAAAACACAGGCAGGGTACCAGCTTTGTTACAGTTTCAATTAAGGGTTCTAACTTTAATGTAAATAGTACATTGTTAAGCTAAAATGTGTAATAAAAAAAAGTGTATAAATCTTTAATCAATATGATTACATTTGACATGATTACTTAGTACTGACTTTCAATATGACCCCAGATTGAATTTGAACTCACAACCTCTGGATTTGCTGCTCTTTCTGCTGCGCCACAAAGTCCCCTACAGAGTAATTACCATAATACATCTCTGCACTTAGCAAAATACTGACATCTGCTAGGAATTAATCTGACTATTCTCTCATCACTGATTTTGTTTACTTATCGCAGCATTTTGAGGGTTTTCTGTATAGTTGTCTAATGTTGGTGGGGCATATTATTCTGTTTTAATGTTACTCCTGAATCACTATGATAAACATAAGTTTTTCTTGAGTGTATTATACAAAGCTGAGATTTACTTTTAAGTCCAATGTAGGAATATAGGTGAAATCAATCCTTGACACAGACATGGTGGCATAGCAGGAAGTTCTGAATGCAGTGAACCAAGAGGTTGTGAGTTCATATCCCACATGAGGACATGTTGAATAATAATTACTGTAGAAATAAACATACACAATGTAATAATGTACGTAAAATACTGTATGTAGCTAAGTGAAAAAAACTGTGGCTATTTCGTGACTTTCCGTGGACATCATATATAATTACGTTTTGTTCGCAGGTCATTTTGTGATTTTTTTTTAATCCATGTGAAACTTCATGTGAAATATCATCACATGTAAAGTGTTCCAAAACCACATGGTTTCACATGTATAAAGGTAAAGTTAGGCCTAATTTAGTTGATAAATTATTCCAAATCAGAAGTAAGCTAATTTACACTATTTTCAAAACCGTTGAACTCCCAAGACCCCCAACCCCCAAAGTAATGCCTAAGACCAATTAGGCTGACCAAATGTAAATTCTATTTATAGAATTTTAAATATCCCAATCTAAATTCTGTGGCATAAAGTTTGGTCCTCGTTGTCGATAAGCGATAACATACGCGTTTTGGATGGTTAATTTAACTTGGGCAACATTGACACGTCGAAACAAAATATTAATAAACATAACTTCTAGACAACCCTTTATTCACCAAAAATGGCCTCGCGTCTCATGCGTAAATCTTACCGATATCTTGGAGATGTGACTGTATGTCCCGGGTATAATGAGCGTATTGCGTGTGGGGATAAGGGTATTCCGAGTTGGCAATGTAGGCTCCCGAGAGCGCCATCCCATGGATATTGTAGTGGTGATGATACGAGTATGGCTTCATTGGTTGCGAGTAGGACTGGCCGTGGCTGGGGTAGTTGTCGTGGTGGCTGTGCGTCGTCTGGCCGCTGTAGAACCCCATGGCAGAGGACTTTGGCAGCGTCGGCAAATCTTTGGCGCCCGGGTGACAGCTCAGTGTGGCGTGGAGATCAGACGACAGGCTCGATGCTGCCTTCTCAGAAGTTGTTCCATTCATCCTGCACGGCCCTCCTTCACCCCCTAATAAAAACCTCCAGAAATAGTGGAGACTTGTAAGAAAGGCCTAGTAAGTTGAAAAATGTATGCCCTCACTAACTGTAAGTCGCTCTGGATAAGAGCGTCTGCTAAATGACTAAAATGTAAATGTAAGTTGAAATACAAGTTTGAAAATAAAACATAAACTCCCCAAAATAAAACCAAAACAACAGGCCTATTGTGAAGCGTTGAACTCCTCTGAGTCTATCCAAAGTCCCTCGGCGAGACTGCACTGCACTGTGGCGGCACCCAACCCAACTGAACTCAAAATTACAGAGCGAGTGGAGTGGATGCTTCATTCCCATTGGTTCTAAACAGTCTCTGCTTCGTTTACCCGGAGGGCTAAACTGTGTCGCCAGCCAGGCTACACTCCTCTCCCCACGAAAACCTCCAGAACCTCCCCCGGCCCGAACCACAGTAGAGACATTTTCTGTTTGTTGTGTTTATTAGGCCTAATTAAGACATATTTAGTCAACATTTAACTGTCTGCAACAATGATTTGCACCATTCTTCACTGGAGTTGTGCGTAACAAAAAAAAACGTCGCCTATATGCATAGGTTTGGGCCTAGGCTATTTATTAATGGGCTTTAAGATTAATTTGATAGGCTAATTAATCTTTAGGATGGCCCTAGGAGTGGCAGCCCTAGAATTGCAAACGTATGAAAAATGTATGCACTCATTAACTGTAAGTTGCTATGGATAAGAGCGTCTGCTAAATGACTAACAAAATAAAACTTCACTAGTTTCCACAATTACAAAGTCATAAACCCCGCCCATTTCTACAATTTATCTTCTTAAAATCAGATTTTTAACCTAACCGTAACCTCAACCCTAACCTTAACCATGCTGCTAACCTTATGCCTAACCCTTTTTGTTTTTATGAATTTTTACGATAGCCTATAGCCAATTTTGACTTTGTGGATGTGGTAACTAGTGGAAACCCCTATACGTGGCCATTCCATTTCCATTCTCCAAAACAACCCAAAAAGTGTGTCAATGACACCATGGTTTGGAGAAGTCTAGGTAAATTGTGTGTAATTCGACTTGTCGTTGATTATCTGATATGCAGCAAATGATGGCCTACCAGCCTAACAAAACGTAATTAACTCATATAGCCTATAGATAATGGCAAGTGAAACTCTCATGAAGGGGTGTCAAAAAAGATTGATCAACGTTCACTTTTAAAATAATAAAAGCGACTTACAGTCATGCGTGCATACATTTTTGTGTATGGGTGGTCCCGGGGATTGAACCAACTACCTTGGCGTTACAAGCGCCGTGCTCTACCAGCTGAGCTATTTAACTTCCATGGTTGATGGTTTTTCATCTTTGTCTATAAGCAGTGGACTAGGTTCTACAGAGCCCCTTAGGGATCATGGTGGGGGGTTAAAACAGCCAGGCTAGTCAGTTCCCTCTGTTTTTATTTTTATTCATTAACTCTTTTGTTTTGTTTTGTATCTATTCCTACCCTTAGTTTTTTTTTGTTTTTTAATTACTCCTGAACTCCTTGTGGATTTATGTAGCCTATCTCTCAGCCTGGTCTCAGACTAGAGGTAACATAGTAAATGTACATCTGGAACACTCAAATTTGTATGATATATTATGTTTGGTATGGAGTTCGAATCTCATTACAGACAACTTTAGCAGTTTAGCTAATGAGCAACTTTTCAACTACTTACTACTTTTTAGCTACTTTGCAACTACTTAGCATGTTCCTAACACTTTCCCTAACTCTAACCTTAACCCTTTAACTTAACGCCTAAACTTAACCCTAACCTTAACTCTAACTAATGCTAGCCAGCTAGCTAACGTTAGCCACCTAGGCACCTAGCTAGAATTCGTAACTATCATACGTTTGCAAATTTGTAACAAATAGTATGTTAAGCAAATTCGTAACATATTGTACTTTTTGCAAATTCGTAACTTATAATATGAATTGTAATTCGGAACACATCCTACGAAATAGGTGATGGACATCCACAAATTAATACATACCATACGAAACATATACTAAATCTCAGATACGTATACAGAATAATACAAAATGCTCTGAGACCAGGTTGGATCTCTAAATATAAATAGACAGCTCATTCAGAAAGTATTCAGACCCCTTCCCTTTTTCCACATTTTGTTATGTTACAGCCTAAAAAAAAAATAATAATAATAATTTTTAAAAAAAGAAGAAAAATTATATATATATAAAAAAAAGAAAAAAGAAAAGAAAAAAGAAATAAATTATTCTAAAATGGATTCTATTATTTCCCACCCTCAATCTACACACATTACCCCATAAGCAAAAACAGGTTTTTAGAAATGTTTTCTAATGTATTAAAAAACAAAAACAGAAATACCTTATTTACATAAGTATTCAGACCCATTGCAATGAGACTCGAAATTGAGCTCAGGTGCATCCTGTTGATCATCCTTGAGATGTTTCTACAACTTGATTGGAGTCCACCTGTGGTAAATTCAATTGATTGGACATGATTTGGAAAGGTACGCACCTGTCTATATAAGATCCCACACTTGACAGTGCATGTCAGAGCAAAAACCAAGCCATGAGGTCGAAGGAATTGTCCGTAGAGCTCCGAGGCAGGATTGTGTCGAGGCACAGATCTGGGGAAGGATACCAAAAAATGTCCTTTTACTGAAGAGTGTCTTCTGTCTGGCCACTCTACCATAAAGGCCTGATTGGTGGAGAGCTGCAGAGATGGTTGTCCTTCTGGAAAGTTCTCCCATCTCCACAGAGGAACTCTAGAGCTCTGTCAGAGTGACCATCAGGTTCTTGGTCCCCCCGACTGCTCAGTTTGGCCGGGCGGCCAGCTCTAGGTAGAGTCTTGGTGGTTCCGAACTTCTTCCATTTAAGAATGATGGAGGCCACTGTGTTCTTGGAGACATTCAATGCTGCAGAAATGTTTTGGTACCCTTCCCCAGGTCTGTGCCTCAACACAATCCTGTCTCGGGGGTCTACGGACAATTCCTTCGACCTCATGGCTTGGTTTTTGCGCTGAGATGCACTGTCAACTGTGGGACCTTATATAGACAGGTGTGTGCCTTTCCAAATCATGTCCAATCAATAGAATTTACCACAGGTGGACTCCAAGTTGTAGAAATGTCTCAAGGATGATCAATGGAAACAGGATGCACTTGAGCTCAATTTCGAGTCTCATAGAAAAGGGTCTGAATACTTATGTAAATAAGGTATTGCTGTTTTTTATTTTTAATAAATATGCAAAAATGTCTAAACCTGTTTTCTCTTTGTCATTATGGGGTATTGTGTGTAGATTGAGGAACCTTTTTATTTTAATCCATTTTAGAATAAGGCAGTTACGGAACAATGTGGAAAAAGGGAAGGTTTCTGAATACTTTACAATTGCACTGTATGTCCAGTAAAACATGGTGCAGCAAAGTGCCTGGATGTGTTTGTTTACAATTGTGCATGTGACTCATCTGAGACAAAGGAAAGGCATGCAAATGTATTGTGTGTAATTTTGGTGTTAACAGGTGCAATGATGCGCTCTCATCCCTGCGATAGTCAGGTGAACATCTTGTGACATAGCCAACCAGACACAGATGGTTTAAAGCGGCTCGGGCTCTATTTTCATAACTAAATATAACCAGTTTCCATCCAACCTTCTTATACTAGTAAAGTATGTTGGATAAAAAACATCATGACAGGCCTGATGGAAACAGAACGTTTGTTGGGAAACTTTCCAAATGTCGACAAAACAAAATATGCTAAACAAGGTGGGATCTTTTTGTGTCAGTAAAATTAGTTATACTAGAAATGTTGGCGGAAACGCTTTTTTGCTCAAATATTGATATATAACCATATCGAAGTGAAGCAATGACATTGTGTGGTCCTCCCTCTATGACTTGTCAGGAAAGCATGTAGTTTATATGCTGCTTTCAAAACAACTGAACTCAGAACTTTAGTTACTTTTATCAATATTATGGCCTGTATTTACCTCCCAATAAATTATGCCAATTAGCTGCTAATGTGGCGATCATAAAGAACTACAAATGCCATGATGATCTGGACGAGACTGCCGAATCGAGGTAAAGGTAAGAATCTCTGGATTAACTATCTGTTAGCTAAATTTAGTAATGAATAAATTGGCTAACTTTCTTTAAATTGACAATTCTGTGAACTGTCTTGTGCAAGTTTCAAATTGACAGAATACCTGTTAGCAGAGGTGTCAGCTAGATATGATGTGCAGGAGCTTGAAGGGATGTGTAGTCTTGCATGATTTCTACTTTGATGCTAATTAGCATTTTCGAATCTGAGAGTAAACAGAGCTGAATATATTGATAAAAGTCACCTTGTCCGAGAGAGATTTACATGGTTATCAAAACGTCACACCAAGGTAAACCTACACGAAACACAGCCCTTATTTTAAGTGGTTCTAAAATTCCCTATGGGAAAAATGAATGGTGGAAAAACGATTGGAACCATTTCCCTGTTTGACTGCTAGGTCTTATGGGTATTATGACACCTCCGCTGTGGGGCTCTATCAAGACAAAGGCTATGATGAAAATGTATGGCATTTTTGTAGAGTTTTTGGATAAACGCTGAAAATAAAGTCTGTGGTAAACACAGGTTTAGATCTTATAGGCTACGTTTTGTTCTATGAGATAATGTTCATCAGCTAACATCACGTATTGTGAATTTTGAAGAATTTATGTAGGCTAATAATAAAAAACAAATCACATGAAAGCTTCATAATTCATAAAGGTCATGTTAACTGACTGCTATTATCTAATAGAACATCTTCTAAACCCGTGTTAACCTCAGACCTTATTTTCTGCGTTTATTCCAAACCCTATTTTTTCCCCATACATTTTTCTGATAGGGATGGATTGCTCAACGAACCAGAGGTAATTTATTTCCGGGTTTTAGGACTAAAAACAGGCGAGCTCTATTAGGCTACAGATTAAATAGCCTACCTATTTATGATAAA